CTACAGTCCTGAATTAAGCAAAGGAAAACAAAAAAGGTGGGGCAGGCAAAATGCTCATATTTCAATGTCTACTATATTTTCATTGTTCCTTCACGCTCCGTGAAAGCAGCTTTTAATCTATTCAGTCATCAAAAGTCTGTTTTTCCAAGTTACGGCATTCATAGTCTTTATTGAACTTGGGGCTTTAATTTTCTATTCTTGATACATGAAATGAGAAAGCCCATGTAAGAGTGCCTCAAAATTGCCTCAAAAGGTGTTAGTGCATAATTATGTCCGCCCAAACTGGGTCCCTTTCTAAAGTTCTCTCCGCCCAAGGTTTGCCACCCAAAGCCATTAGCTGTTAAATTACAGTGGCTGATGACAGAAGCTCTCCTATCGACTTTAGCAGGAACGTCCCACCAGGCTCCTTCTGGAATTAAACACCGGCCCTGGACCCGCTGACTGTTAACCCTTTCCTTAACAACTCACCCCTGGGCAGCCAGGGGTTACATCGGACCTCCCAAGGGAGAAGGCGCCCCTGTCCACTTCCCTGTGAAGACAGATGAAGACGGCTAAGGGCCCGGGGTGCCTGGCTCTCCGCCACCACTGGGGACTCGCCGGGGCTGGAACGCCCTCGGGGTTTGTTGGGTGCCGCAGGCTCCCGCCCAACACCCGTACGCGCCGCGAGACTGCCAGACCTCTGCCCGAGTCCAGAACCCGGAACCCCCGCTCCCCGGAAGAGCGCCCCGAGCCCGCAGCAAGCCTCGCACCTTCACCGGCGCCCCGACGCCGGGCCACGCCACGACGCACTCGCTACGTCCTACCGGGACAGCGCCTGCCCAAACCTTCGCGCGCTGCCAGCCCGCCACCAATAGCAACCCTGGCCCCACAGCATGAGCCAATGGAAGCGCTCGGAGGAATGGGACTCAGCCAATCACTGCCCTCTCGGCTCTGGAACCCCACGCCACCCACCCCCGACCAGAGCGGCTGCTCCTCTAACCATTCTCCATCCCTGGGAGTCTGTAGACACGAAACCCAGAATGGACGCGGCCTTGGTTCAGGAAGGGAGATGCACTGACTCGCCGCTATTGAATGCTTCTGCTTAAGCCCCCTTATCTGCTAAATCACGCATTTGGAAAATCGGTGAAAACAAAAGCGGAGGCAGGGAAACATTCTGCAACTAAAAGCTAGGATAAGAACTCAAGTCTTAGCTTAAACGGGAAAATAGCCTGATGAGAGGTCTGAAGACGCTTCTTAGCAAAACCGTGGACGGCCCTGATGTACTGAAAGTGCTTCGTGCCCCTTAGGGTTAGAATTATCACGAGAAGCCGCTTCCTGTAAAAAGAATTAATGCTTATGTTTGGGTGTTTCCTCAATCCCTTTAGGTTGACATGCTCTAGAGTCGTTTTAACATTGTTGGAGAGATCTGGGCACTTCGAATGAGACTATAGGCAGTTGGTTGTCATTAGTTCATTAAATGTTCACGACCACGCTATTGCTTCTTTCGTCCTGTATTACAAATGAAGAAATAAGGCAATAGAGAAACTACCCCAAAATGTCAAACTTTAATCAGTGATGGAGGCAAAATGAGAACCCGGGTCCTTCTGATCTATATGTTATCAAAACATTTTAAGACCCAAATTAACTAGGTCTGAACAATCTGGAGTCTTTCACTTCTAAATGGCTTGAATCCTCTCCCCACCCCACCCCACCCCACCCCACCCCCCCCATCTTTTCCTTACTGGTTTTTTTTTTTTTTTTTTTTTTTTTTTTGGTGTAAAAGATTCAGTTACAATCTTGGAAACTTCCAGGTGCTTCAGTGTGCACCTCCTCCTCCCACCCCCCTCCCAGCTTAGTTGTGATCCCTAGTATTAGAAGACTTGTTGTGGGGTAGAGGGGCTGGGGGAGTGGAGAGAAAGATGTAGGAGAGAAACACTACTGCAACTGAGTTGTGTAAGTACCATTGTATAAGTCCACACATATTTGGCTTTGTCATTAAAAAGAAATGATGTTAACTGTATGGGATGGTGTATGCATGAACAAATAAGGTGATTATCTGCATCCACTGGAATTGTAAGTACTTTCTATTAAGATCCTTTTATTAGACGACTTAGCCTTTAGGACATGGGTGTTCCCACCTCGGAGTGTGTGAAGTCAATCCCTGGTCCTAATTCCAGCTTTCTGGGGGGATAGTAGTGAATGCTCCAGTAGTTCGGTTCCTGCTACAACATATGGACACATGGGTCGAGTTTCCAGCTTGACCCTGGGTGGAGCCAATGCTGGCAATGGGGGAGTGGGAATTAGTAGATGCGAGCTGGTTTTTTGCCTCTCAAGCAAAAATAATAATAATAATAAGCATTTTGTGTTCAGCCTCTATTTTTTAACCTAGATTCTGTTTGATATCTTCTAATATGAGTTTACAAGCAGAAATCGGAGGGGGAGGAGATGTTTTATTAGATATCAATTCTCGATGTGTTTTGTATGACTGAACTATTTTAATTTAGTTTTTATGTGTCTCCATACAAAACAGCAAGAATTATGGGAATTGGTATTGAGCCAGGAAATGAGAGAGAAGTAATTTTGTAGTTAGCACAATGCTTTGTATATTTCAAATGGAGACAGCCTTTCTCCTTGTCCTTGAGAATTTATACAATCTGATTTCAGAAAAGTTTTCCAATACTACAAGGCTGGATCTGATTTCAAGCAATAAATGTTTCAGAAGACAATGCATAATATTAGGCAAGTGGGAAGAAGCTCTGTGCTCCTGGAACCCAGATTTAGCAGAATGTTCAGATTCACTTTCAGCTTTGTGTGGCAAAACCATCTCTGAACCTGCTGGGAGAAACCCAAGATCCTTCTCTCCACGGAGAGAAAAGAATGCAGGTAACCTACACATCTACATACAGTATTCACTAGTGCTAATATCTTTGTCACCACACTTTCTTATTAGTCTACACTTTTTTTTTCCTCTTATGGTTTTCTTCTGTAAAGCGAAACATTCTGTGGTAGATTAAAACCAAGCATCTGTCATTTTTAACATCATTTTTCTCACAGTAGAAATCTTTTCATAGATCACTACCGGTAAACATCAGAGGCTCTCACAACTGCTGTGACTTACCAGAAAAAGTTCCTACTAGCCAAGTCAATGAGTGAGGCTGCGTTCCCAACTGGGGCTTCAGGGTGGAGACTCACAAAAAGGCCATGTGGAAGCATGTGAAAGCATCGGGGTCCTATGCAGACCCTTTAGTGAACTACCAGAATCTCTGAAGCAAGCTCAGAGAAGTGCTGCAGACCTGAGTTCCCGTGGTGTGCCCTTAACCACATACCTGACCACACTCCATTTCCCAGAGCGAAATCGTCCCCCTAGAGTGTGAATGGGAGGTGGGATAGCTTTCAGTGGCAGCTCATACAATGGTATTCCTTATGAAAACCTTCGTCAATTAACATCAATTTTTTATGATCAGTAAATACAATTATTGTATGTTTATGCACTTCTAATTATGTGAATCCCAGGAAGTTTGAACAGTGTATATTTCTCTTCTATCAAATGTGCCTGATAATGACAACACAACAATGTCGGAAGAAATGCACAGGGGCAAGGGGGGCGGGCCAGGCGGGGGGAGCATTAAGCCAGTAAGTCAGCAGCTGCCACAAAGTAGATCCTTCTTTAGGATTTGTCAAAAATTATAGGTATTTTGCTTCCAGGAGAAATTTGTTAGAACAGAAAACAACAAGAAACAGTGTTTCAGTCGCTCTGCCATTTTTTAACAAGACATAACATGTGGGGCCATTTAGCTATTTATTTTTAAAAACAAAGTTTCAGAGAGAGGGAGAGACAGAAAGAGAAAGAGATCTTCAGCCTGCTGCATCACTCCCCATCAGCCAGGAGTGTAGAATCCCATCCAAGTTTCCCACATGGTTGTCAGGGGGTCCTAGTACTGCAGTCATTTCTGCTGATTTCCCAGGCACATCAGCAGGGAGCTGTATAGGAGATTGAGCAGCTGGGACTCTAATCATAGGGTACACCAGCAAGGCAGGCAACAGCTGAACTGGTTGCACCCAATGCCTAGCAGAATTTATTTCTTTGAAGCTCAGTTGCATCCTCCATAACCTGAAAACAATATTTAACTTGATTAACAATGGTTTTGGAAAACAACTTCCTACTGTCTGAAAATTGGCAAAATGTAGGTATTAAAAACAGCCTGTATCCCTTACATTTATGTATGACTAATCGAATTATACAGTATCCTATGATTATTTTACTGTGGGGTGGAAAGTTGTTTTCAAATTAAACTATTCTTTAAAGATATGCTGAAACTGGTAAATGAACAAATTCTCATTTGTTTATTTTTCTTAAAGATTGCACAAACTGGAACCAACACCAAAATACTGTTCTCACTGTACATCATTCATAATAAAACAACATACAACACAGTTGTACTCTACGAAATAGGATTTTGTTTACAATTATATATTGCATGCTCTTAGATTCATGCTGTAAATATTTCACATTTATCAGTAATCTCATAAATAATTATGACAACCAATTTGAACACGGGCTACTACTACTATTCAGTGCGGCAAGGTGTAGTCTGACAGGAGAGATGAAATGGAAAAACAAGGGGTTTGTTTCATTAGTGAAACGCTAACGTAAAAGACACGCAAAACGTCGTTTCAAAAGGCACAATTTCTTTCACAGAAAAGTACAATTTCAAAACACGTGCCAGTTAACATCGGCGTCCTTGAGAGTGCTGTAACGTTGATATTAATGTGAGTATAAACTCCAAGGTCCGTGCAAGGAAGTTCCAACCCAGGAGTCCGGATGGGGTGCGGGGTGTGCAGCATACCCTCTACCCTGAAATTTCCGCACTTCTCCGGCAAATAAAACCTGATCTTAACACAAACACACTCTCTCTCTCTCTCTCTCTCTCTCTCTCTCTCTCTCTCTCTCTCTCTCTCTCTCTCTCTCTCCACTCGGCCCGCACGGCACTCCCAACCCCTTCCCTTCCGGGGTAGAAGGGTTATGAGTCGCGCTCGCAGCCGCCCCCGGCCTCCGGGTCGCTCTGGTCGTCCGTGAAGCAGACGTCCACGTCGCTGTCATCGCTCTTGGGATCACCCGGCTCCGGCGGGTAGCCGGACTCGGCGCCCGGGCCGTCGCCGGCCTTGGCGAGCAGGCTCTGGCCAGGGTGGCGCGACTTGACGTGGCGCTCCAGGTCCCGGCGGCGCACCAGCACCTTGCCGCAGAACTCGCAGCGGTAGGGCGTGTTGCCCTCGGCGTGCAGCCGGATGTGCTTGTTGAGGTTGCTGGGGTCGCCGAAGGGCCGCAGGCACACTTTGCACTTGAGCGGCTTGTAGCCCGTGTGTGTCCGCATGTGGATCTTGAGCCCGTACTTGCGCGAGTACAGCTTGCCGCAGTAGAGGCACAGGTGGCCGGTCTTGGGTTTGCCCACGCTGCTGCCGCCGCCGCCCCCAGCGCCACCTGCCGCCACCACGGCCGGTGGCAGCGTCCCTGAGTCCAGCCGGCCGCGGCCCTTCCCAGACGCCATCTCCGACAGCTGCTGCGTGTGCATGGCGATCTCACGGTCAATACTGGCCAGGGACCCCAACTCAGCGGGGCTTAGAGCGGCCGCAGCAGCAGCCGCCGCCGCCGCAGCAGCAGCAGCGGGGCCGCTTAAATAGGAGATGGACTCGGGATACTTGAACAGCCCACCGAAGTGCAATTTGAGCGGGTAATATGCTGCGGCGGCCGGCGAGCTATAGAGTAGCTCCCCGTTGTAGACGGTAAAGGCCGGCATGACGGCGGGCAAGTGGCTATACTCGCCCCCGGGATAGGCCTTGAACCCCCCGGCTTCGAGGGGCGGCAGAGCGCAGCGCTCCAGAGATAGCCCAGGCGCGGGGGGCAGCTGCGAGTACCGCGCTCCCGGGAGGGCTGCGGCAGTGGCGGGCGGGGTCCGCTCCACGTGCTTGAAGGCGGACGCCTCTTCCGGCGGGCCGGGCAGCAGAGGAAAGCCGCGCAGGGCCCCCGAGCAAGGCAAGCCAGACGGAGGCGGAGGCGGCGGCGGGTCCCCCGCGAGCAGGCACTTGGGGTGGTGGTGATGGTGGTGCGCATGGTGGTGATGGTGGTGGCTGGCGCTGCCCGCCGCCAGGTTCTCCCCGCTACCGGGGCGCCCGCCTGTCCGGCTCCCACTCAGAAGCCTGCCCAAGGCCAGGCCGGCTCCCTGCTTGCCTCCGCCCTCCTCCCTGTAGAGGTCGACTTGGCCGGCCGCGGCCGACCTGGCTAAGCCGGCGGGCTTGAAAGCAGAACGCACACCGCCGGGGTAGAAGGCCAAGCTGCCACCCCTCGCTGGGGAACCGCCCACGTTGCCCAGGAAATGGCCGTGTCCTCGGGCGGCCCCGCTCATGTCCAGGGCGCGGTCCGGCTGTTCCTTGCCCTTCTTGGACAATCCCCACTTGCTCGGGGACGACGAGGCGGCCGAGGGCGCAGAGGAGACCTCGCGCTTGATGCTCTCCCGCGCCCCGCAGCCCTGAGTGGGCAGTGGGGCTTGCGGGTGGGACCTCAAAGGGTCTGCTGGGGTGAGCGCGGCGAACTCGGGCCCAGGGGCTTTGGGAGAGAGGCCAAGGCCGTCTGCCGCCGGGGCAGCGCTATGACGAGCCGCGTGCTCCTGAAGCAGGAAGGAGCGGCCCGCGCCGCCACCACCGCTAAGCACGCAGTGGAAGCGCAGGTGTGCCTTGAGGCTGTTGGGGTACCTAAACGTCCTCCAGCAGTACCAGCAAATGTAGCGCTCCTCTCCTGGGCGAGAAAGAGTAGGAAAGTGACTCTGTGAGAGGCGAACGACCCAGACCCAGAGTAAACAGCAGTACACCCCAGGCAAAAGTCCAGCGGTAGTGGGAGAATTGGGTGTGTTCTTGGGGCCTCGGGTATGTCTATTGTATCAGGGACCCAGAAGGTTCAACTGGCCACCCTAATCATCATCTGCATCCTCGGGGACTACTCAGAAGCCAGGAGGGGAGATCTGGACCTTTCCAATGGAGACTTCCTCCGGGCCATCTGAGCAAATCCTCATTGGAAGAGCAGTGCTCAAGCAGTCTGGCCAGGGAAGAGCAGAGAGCAGCTGTTGCTTTAAATCAAGTATTGAGGCTGTGCTGGGCCTGGGCCCATCTGTTGGCGCTCGCAGAATAAGTGGCGTATGTCAAGGAGTTTGGATAAACTGAACAAAGGCCAATCTAATGGTCGTGAGCGCCTCATTACCAGGCAAGACAATATCTTGTATGTATGGGCCATATGTAATCATTCCTTTCCCTAGAACAATATCTTTTGTGTCCACGACCCACCCTTTTTACCCCCTCCCTGTTTTAAACACTTCGCCTGAGGTTTTCCTGCAGCGTGACCAAGTGAAGGACCACATAGGGACTATAATTTGCTATTCTTCAAAAATTATTTGTGTTTCCTCTTAACCCCATTTAATTTGGTGAAAGAAAAGTCCTGTGCTCTGATATCCTAGGAAGAATCATGATATTCCAAGAAGGATGCTGCTCTATTATTTTCTGTTGTTCTACTTGGTGAGTAATTAACTCCCAAATAGCTACACTAATCCAATTTTAGCAAAATCCTTGAGAAGCAAGATTACTTTGTGCTTATTACATTTACCTGTAAGTGAGAGAGATAGACTCAGTTTTTATAAGTATAGGACTCTGCCAGGCATGATACACATATTTAGTGTCAAATCTTTCCTGTGTGATTAATATTATCAGTAATAATTTTTTATTTTGCCAGACTCTGAACACAATCAACAAATATATCTATGAGAAAGGTTCTGACCACATGTAACAGTTTGTCTCCACTCAAAAAAATCATGACACTACTGTGTGGAGAACAATCTTGCAATTTGGTTTCTTTTAAAATATGCTTGATAATACTGAAACGGAACCACAAGGAAGTAGCCGAAGTATACTTTGGTTTCCTAAAATCTAATGGGAAAGGTAAATTCTCCCTCCTTTTATACAAGCATTTCAAGTTTCTTAAACATTACTAGCAAAAAACCTTAGGGGGGAAATTCCATTCTCCTTTGGGTGTATTTATGTGTTGGCTTTGTGTAAAGCAAACAGCATCTCATCCCATAAAAAAGATGGAAGTTAACTCAAAAGCATTTCATTCCAATAAAAGACCAAGGGAGAGGGAAAAAAGGGGTGGAGGCAGAAGAGTATTTGCCTATGCAATTGTATCTTACTGCTTACAAACATCTCAGATGTAAACCATTTCTGGGTTCCTGTTACCCTGTATTGAGCCCCTGTGAAACTCTTGGAATAAGAGCCAACAGAGACTTCATGCATTCTCTTGATGCATTTGTCAATGTGTGATGTTAAATAGCCTCCGTTATTCTGAAGAACAGTACTTTTTCGGTATCTGGGAACCGTCAGTCTACCTCAGTCCACATAGTTGTTAAGACTAAGGAGCAGTATATTCCTTCATTAAATTACAGAACTGAAGACCACTCAAGTTATCTAGGACTGGGAGTATGGCAACCCTACCTAATGTCATCCTGTTTCCACAATTTAAGCAAAAATCAAATGGTTCTTAATCTAACAGATCTCCTCTTCAGTTTATTCTGCCTGGCATGTTCTCCAGACTGAAAATTCAACTTAGGCCAAGTGTATTAAACATACATCATAAGTGATTTTCTCTCTCCTTCATGTAACCCTAAGGTGATCAAGATTTCAAACATCTCCATGAGGAATAAGTCAGGTTCAAAACAACCCAAACCAAAAAGAAAAGAGAAGTAGTATATATTTTGACATCTGTCCCGAAGCTGTTTACAGACTCAGTTGATTGAAATAAAAACACTTAAGGTCACTATCAACACAATTGTTTCGGGACTGTTTGAGAGTACCTAATGAAGAGTGGTTCATTTAGAAAAGGCTGGTTCCTATGGAGAGTGGCCCTCCCAACTATTCCATTGTGGCTAATCCAAGATTTCCCCATTTATGGGGGCTCATCCCATGCTACTTTTACTCAAAGAACGTGACAAGCAAATTTAAGATAGTGTGATGTATGGAACAAACTAAACTAGTATAATTTCTGTTAAACCTGCAATTCAACTAATGTACTAATTGATACAGTGAAGTAAAGTGATTCAATGTCCTTAATAACCCTTATTCTGTCTCATTCATGGAGTGCTTGATGATACCCCAAATGTGTATTAATCTCTCTCTGTCTACCTCTAAAGAGATGAGATTGTGTGGGTAACTCAGGATACTATGCTAAAATATTTCACAAGATTATGCTCACTAAATAATAAATGGGTGTTTGGGAGAAGTTACAAACTAGAATAACTGGTAGAGGTATGGAGGGGCGGGTAAATCATGGAAGCTTTAGAAGAAGGGAGTCTCAGGGTTTTTACTATTTTAGCATTTTAGCATTTTCCAGCCTTGTTTCCACAGGAAGAGTTCTTCAGTGTTCCAGGGAAGGTTTGTGATTGTTTTTCTCTTTAGTTGGTGCACCTTCATTTGCATAACCCTGCTCTTGGCTTTGAAAGGAATCAAATAAATCTGAGAAGAAACTGGGATACAACCCAGATTCAATTTAAGTAGGGAGAGGGGAAAGAACAAATACCTCTTAAATGGAAAGGCCTTGGTACCTGCCAAAGGAGTGGCAGTAACTACCGTAATGCTTCTAAATTACGATAGGAATACGTTGGAAACCAGTGAGGGAAAGATGCCCTCCTGCCTAGTGAAAGCGCTCCAGCTTGAGTAATGCTTTCTGGGTCTCACCATGTAATCGCTGTAACAATATTTTAAGGCTCTTTAAAAAAATAGATTCTTAATTGAGTATATAAAATCTTTGAGGGCATGCAATAGAAATGCATGATCCAGTAAAGTTCATAAATAGTATCTCCCCGCTCCTGCCATCCACAGCCAGATGATTGCTGTCAGTGTCGTCACCATTATTTTAAAGAGATGTGATGACGTCGCCTCTCGGCCTACACCAGGAGCGTGAATTCAGCTTTACACAGATCAAGAGAAAGGTCCTTCAAGTTTGGGGAGACCTTGGAATCCGGGAGCAGGGAAAGGGCGGGGAGGGTCTGAACTCACAACCACCCACTCTAGACTGAAGCCCTCCCGGAGGTAGTACCTTTCTCGTCGTGCGTCGGAGTCGCGGTGGTGGGGATGTCGAACCACTGAGCCAGGGAATTGGAATACCACACCGTCAGTTCCTCCCCCGGCTGGACATCTCGTAATGCTCGATAGAAGATCTGGGACCCAAGGAATGGGACAGCTGTCATTTCTGGGGGTAACCGGTCAGAAAAGCAACTGGAAAGCAAGGTTTAGATCCTGGCCCCTGATACTGTGTGACTCTAGTGGAGAAACTAGTGGATCTCTCTGAACCTCGCTTCCCTCCATCCAACGGGAAACTAACAGTAGTATTTACCACGAAGGGTCAGGAGGTTTAAACGACACCTAAAGCGCTTTGCTCAGGGTTGTTGCCCCTGGACCCTTCACCCGTAAAGGACCTTTGGGTGGACAGAATTGGGAAGGGTGTGGGGAGTTGGCAGTACCTGTCCTCCCGGTAAGTCTGCAATAGCTTCCAGAGTCTGTTCCTGGGGGTTCCTGGCTGCCCGGATTAAGCCTATCCACTCCAGAGGGGAGCCCCCCGACTCGTCCACCAGCTCGCCTCTCACCATGCGCACCTGCAACACAAGCAGTGGTCGTACTCCCGCGCCCCACGATCAAGCCCACCAACCAGAGGGAAAGCTTGTCCTTCTTCCCCACCCGACTCGGGAAAACGTTGATCAAGGCGGTGTTGGCGATTGGAAATATCCTAATTCCTTTAGAGCCCTAATTAAGGAAAGGAGGAAGAGGGAATGCTGGTTGATCCAGCTGTACCCTCCGCGCGCCGCACCTGGCGGGTTCCAGCACGTTCCCCACCCCCACCGTGGCTCTCGCACTTGCAGTTCCGAACGCAGCGGTAGCGCCGGGGAAAGACGCTGAAAACTGAAGTCCCAGCGCTCCGAGCGTGCGCTTCCCTGATGCTCCGCGCCGCCCACTCCTGCAGCACCACATCTAGGTGCGGACGAGACTGGCAGCCCAAGTCTCCGAACAAAGCACCTGCAGGGTAAAGCTTGTCCACAGCTGGCTGTCCATTTAAAAGCCATTAAGTCGCATTTAAAGAGGAAGGCGTGGTGTGCAACAAACCCCAGTTGAGACTGTGGGCAGGGTGGGGAAGAGGAAGAGGTGATGGCACCCGCAGCGAGGTGCGGAGGTGAGGGGTGGGGGTCCCGCAGGAGGGGTGTCCTGGCTATTTCTGACAAACGGGTTCTGGACAGCGATTAGCCAAGCTGTGGTCCTGCCTTCCCACCAGACCCCTTGGCCGCCGTTTGCCACATTTGTGACCCTGGGACTCCCCCAAGGCTGGTGAAAGTGTCTCTAAATTCTGTTTCTGGTTAGGGATCGCTGTTTGCGGAGTCGGAGCCAAAAAGTTAGCCAGTGCCGTCTCTTGGTTGGGACTGTGGATTCTGGGTCTATCTGCAGGTGCCCTGATCAGTGGGTGCCCATCACCCTCTGAGCCCACGTCAGAGCCTGATATACCCTATCTTCCTTTACCCCAAACCCACAGGCAAACATCCGCAGGAGGAAAAAAATCTGTCGGAGATTCCAAGTACTCAGCTTCCCAGGGATTATTGATTCCCCCCTCCTCACCCCCCCCCCGGAATAAAATCCCTTTAAGAGTAATCTAAGCCTCAAATTAGCATAACGAAGAGAAGCAACAAGCCAAGTCCACTGCGTGCTGCACTGGTGGAGAGATTCGTTATTCTGGCTTTGAGGTGCAAAGGCAGGTGGGGGCGGGAGACCTCCGGCACTGCTGAGGAGCCCACGAGTTCCTAGTGGTCCACACTGAGAGGCCCGTGCAAGTGGGTGCACTCTAACTCTCTTCAGTCACTCCTCTACCCAGCTCTCAATTAACGAGACTTTCAAAAAATCAAGACGTATAGCTCTCAATCAATGAGACAGTAAAAATAATCGGAGTCCCCTTCCACCTGGCACACGGAGCAGATAACGACTCAGTCCTACCTCCCCCTACCCACAACTCCCTTTATCTTTTCTACCCATTTCTTGGGTCAGGGTGAAGGAGGGCGAATGACAGAGGACGGAGGTCGTATTGGCCAATACCTTTTTCTTGGGCCCAGGCTCCCTGCGGTCTGACAGGTACTTGCCCAGTTTAAAGGTGCCGGGCACCGGCCCGAGGCGCAAACCGGCGGGAATGCAGCAGTCGGCACTGACGCTGGTGGCCGGAACGCGGGTGGCTGCGTGCATAGTTGTTGTTGTTGATGTTGTCGCTGCCGCCGCCAGGCAGGCGCTGGGGCGCACAGGGTCTTCGTCAGGGCGCGAGTGACAGAGCCGGAGCGGTGCGCTAGCCAGGAAGCCTCACCCCGACGTGCGTCCTCCGCCCGCGGAGTGACGCGGGCGGCCATGCACTGCGCCTTTTCTATTGGGGCGGGCGCCTTTTGGCACTGCCAGTGCAAGGGCGCGGAGTTTGGTGAGAGAGTTGAGCTGCGAAGCAGCTGCAGAGTCCCACCCGAGAGGGTCACATGGAGTGGTTCCCTCAACCCCCTGCATAATCGAGGCCTCTGAATGGCTAGCACACAATGGTCCAGGCGACCTTCCCATTCCTAAAAATCCAATTTGTCAAGAGCGAAGAAAAGGCGCTGGTGAATCAAAGGTCCGGCTGGACCATTAATCCTCAGCATGGGGTATTGTTCCCCAGACAGTTACGATATTTTAAGTGACAAATCCACTGTATAATTTCTCCATAAATTTTACTTCCTTTTATTGTTCTCCGACAAACCAGTTTTGGGAAATAAGTGACTACTTTACGTCTACTTGGCTGATTCCTTTGAGCCTTGGTCTACTTCAAAGATTTTTAATTCTCTCCCCTCGGCTTTATTGTAAAGGAGATTAAACAAAGAGACGGGGACTGTTTGGAGGACTTGTTAACTTCTATTGATTTCTGGCGTGTGCCATACAGAAATTAGACAGGTACTTGATGAGAAAACACCAGAAAATACCTACACTTTTTAAATAACGACCGTATTACCATTTCAGGGGGATTGGGTTCAGGCCAGTGTCTACTTAGGATCACTTGAATTTTCACCCCGAAATACACAACCTCAGGACCGATTTGAGAAGGCAGTCAGCTGCGTTTCCCTGTTGCTGGCCGCATCCCGGACCCACACTTGGTCCGGAGATTAGTAAGTGGCCGCTGAGCGCAAAGGTTGCAGAATGAGTTTTGCTAGCAGAATTATTTATCACATCCCCCCACCCTCTCACACACATAGAGCCACTGTTGCACTCTAAGCTCTGACTTGCCTCTAAGTTAAAAATGGGAAGGAAATCTTTGAGTTAATCCCCCAAACCCAGCAAAGTAGGCATTTCTTAATTAAAATCAAACCCCAATAGTCTGTCACGGGTCCGGAGAAGAGGAGCCAGGGGAACCTATGAGACACACCCTAGGTAGACCTAGTTGTCAGAGTTAGATGGCAGTGCTCTCTGCCACCTGTTTGGGCGAGGACATTGCTTTTCCTGAAGTGGCAGCCGAATCATCAAACCAATCAGAAATGTTTGTGACCTGCGGGCGCTGCTCAGAGCGGCGGTGGTCTCTCAATGGTGACAGCAGGCAGGTAACTCTGCAGCATACCTAACAAGAGTTCCTCTTGCTCTGTTCTCCCCGACAGGGAGACCTCAGACCTGGAGTCAAGCCTTTTGTACTAGGGAGCCTCAGTCTCCTCATCTGAAAAACGGGAGTGAATGCAAACAACTCCCGGGCTTCCTAGCCCTGCCGTTTGCCTTAGTTTTGCACAAAACCTTTAGTGTCCCCGATGTTAAGCAACTTTCTGTTTGCTGGTGGGAGAATCTAGGTTAGAGTGGAATCTCAGCTCCGAACTGTTCAAGCCAGATCTTGGGAAGATGTACACTGGCCAACCTCGATGCCAACTCACCGCCTTTATAGAAGAGGGTGGGGACGGGAAAGAGCCGCGGGGCTGATCAGTTTGGCCGCTGGGTGTGGCCCCCTTAACACTGCAGTTAGGTCTGAGCGAGCTGCGGCGACGCTCTTCCCCGCCCCCACCCCCACCCTTCGCGGGCTGCGAAGGTTGCCCTAGAAAAGACGCGAGGTAGTCTTTGATCCTGCGGCCCATGAATGGCAAAAGCTGGGGGAGGGGAGGTGGAGAGGAAGCCACGGCGAAGAGTCGCGGGCAATAAATTTAAGCCATGAACATGTCCCTCTAACCTCTGGCCTGGCGACTCTGGGATAACACCCAGTTTGAATTACCAGCTCTGCGAGCGGGAAGGGGCGAGCGCGGGGCCTGGGTTCGGGGCGCCTCCCCAGCCCTCCTTAATGAGTGAAAAAGCGTGAACGACACGCGAACAATTTTATCAATAGGACCATGTAAAGGCCGACTGTGAGGAAAGTTATTTATTAATATAGCCAATTGTGGCTGGTTCCCAGCCCCGCGAGAAGAAAGGAGACTGCGCCAGAGGCATTCACACCAGCTTGCGGAGTTTTATTCTGTCCTGTGGCTCGGAGTTGAAGTTCCCCAAGTGAAATAAATTGTCCACAAAGGAGGAAAGGAACACATTTTCTTTTATTTTTCCTCCCCTAAAAAGCAAGGGTGAAACCAATCTAATGTGCCCAGTGGAGCAAGATGGGCCGTGAAAGACTGGGTGTTAAAAGTAAAAGCGGGCTGCGCAGCAAATGGGATGGAAAATTAAATGAAATTAAATAGCTTGAACGGCCGTATTGTCCCTTATTAAAAAGACACATTAATTACATGGTCCCAGCCTTATTCAAAGACAATGTTGAGACTCAATCAAAACATTCCACTCTGCTTTTTTTTTTTTTTTTTTTTTTTTTTTTATCAACTTGAAATGGGCGTCCAGAGGCCCTGGTAAAGCGAAATCCCTCCTAGGCCGCCGAGGACAAGGCCGAGACGGTTTTGCGGGGCGCGCGCGCTCGCGACCGCAGCTCCCGCCCGCAGTTAACAGGTCGCCCCTGGAGAAGGCGCCGAGCCGGGCGAGCGCCGCGGGCAGGGGCGCGGGGAGCGCGCGGGCAGGGGCGCGGGGAGCGCAGCGGCCCCAACGCCCCGCGTCCCACCGCGCCGCCCCCGCCCCGGAACGCGTCCGAGCGCCCAGCACGTGTGGCCGCGCCGCGCTGCGCCCCGCCGAGGCCACGGGCCCGAGGAGAACGACCGCTGGCAAACCCAAGTCCTCTGGGGGCTGCGGGTCTCGGCCACGCTGAAGTCTGGGATTCGCGTCCCCGGGACGGGGCTGGGGAGCAGTTAGGGGGAGCGGGAGGGTACGAACAAGATGACTGCGATCTGGGACCCGGGGTCCTGGGAAGCGGGATCTGGGCCGGGGGCGGGGAGAGAACCCAGGGAGTCGCCGACGCGCTCGCGCTCACTCCGGTACCCAGACTCCCGGGGCGGAGAGAGGGAGGCAGGCAGCAGCGCGGAGCCGGGGAGCTAAGGGAGGCCCCGAGGCCCCGCCTTCCGTGGCCGAGTTTGGACCAGAGGGGGACCCCCGAGGATGTCTGGGGCCAGCGAGGCCGGCAGGTCAGCGCGGACCAGCTGCGCGGCCCCTGAGGCGCGGGTGGGACATTAAGGCCAGGTCTCAATAGGCCGGCGGCGGCGGCGAGCTCTGGGAACGCCACCAGATGACAGGCCGGCGACGGAGCCATTTTTTCCTTAATTGCGTGGCCAGTGGATGCGGGGCGCCTGGCAGGTTCCAAACGCGCAGCCCGGGCTGTGATGCAGCCGCTAACATCGCTGGTGGGTTTTATTTTGCCTGTTGGTTGTTGTTCTTGCTGCTGCTGTTGCATTTTAAACCCTTGGAAAGGGCTCAGTAGAAATATTGAGTCACCTTCTTCAGTTGCCTTTTAACCGGAGTTCCCCCAACTTATTTTTGGGTTCTTTCGGTTGACGTGATGCAAAGAAAAGTCAGTGAGCGCGTTGCTGAATTGCAACGTCTTGAGGCACCTCCACATTCAGCGCTCCTCTGCCGGCCGCTGCCGAAAGAGCCCGCGCTCAATTCGATTTTCCTTGCTGTTGGGCACATTTAAGAGCGCCTCTATTTGTGAAGTTCATTTCTAGGCAAATGTATTCAAGAGCTGATGGGAATGAATAGGACCGTGTGTCAGCCGCCCCTAATTGGGATTAAAGCACTTAGGAGCATATGCAGAGAGTGACAGAAATTCTCAGGTTGCATTGTGTTCAGACTTCCACCCGCTCGGACACTCCTCCTCCGAGGGAGATTTATAAAGATTGCTGGGAGATGCCGAGAAGGGGTAAAAAGTGAAACGGAAAAGAACTGGGCTAATGGCTCAGGATGGGACTGAGGTTAAGCAAGTGGTGGTGACAGTTTCGGAGAAAAGGTGCTGGGGGATAATTGAACACGGGCGAGGGAGCAGGTCTGAGCTCTTTAATCAGACAGGCGGAGAGTTAAAAGGCGAAATAAAGATGTTCTTGAGATTCCCAGACGGTTCCTCCCCCTCCACTCCCCCCACCCCTTTGCCTTGAAGAGCGGGGCTTTATTTCTCTTCCTATCCCTCCCCGCCCCCCACCACCCTACAGAACATACCCTCTCTGGGAGCAGAGATGAAAATAATTTGGTGCTTGAACCGGAGAAGGGAAAAGGTCACAGAGGAAGCAAAAAAATAACCTCTTTTGTATTTTGATGACTCCAAACCTTAAAACCAGTGAAAATATTGCCAGATGCATGTAGGTGTCTGTAAACTGTGTGAGCACTATGTGAAGCCACAGGCATGATGACGAGGTGTTCACGCACATGGAGACTGTGCAGCTCCTGATCAGCCTGGAGCTGGTTCTCTGGGCTGCAGGTGACAGGCCTTTGGAAAGCTGCACATCAACATGGAGCTGAGGTTAACTTAAGCAAGGAGAGCGATGACAGCCTCTTTGAGCCTCTGAAGAATAGGAAAGCCAGGAAGGACAGGTGAACATAAGGGGAGGGAGGAGGGACAAACACGTTGCAAATTGTCGGCATGTCCATGTTTTCTTTTCCTGACTGTTTAAATCCACATGGAAACACTGTTTCCCCGAAGCGATGGAAAACTCTAGGTGTCTGAGCTCTATATGAGAGGGAGACTTGCTGCTGTATCCCTTTCCGTATCATTTTAGGTTTGCTGCTGTAAAAATATATTTCCAATTAAATGCTATCCTTGGGATTGAAAAATAATCTGTGCAAGAGCAGGGGGAAAGAAGAAGAGGAAAAAAGAAAAGGAAGACAATGTGGAAATCTGGAGA